GCATGACTGCAGCTTTCCCCGCCGCTATATTTGTCTTTGTAACACAATCGCTGCATGATACGACACCGCATTGATGCAATTGCAATCTTCCTGATATGTTTTGGTCACACCATCGCTTCACAGGATGACACCACATTCGTCACACAATCAGGATGTGACACTGCATTGTGGCAAATGTTCCTATTTTGGTATGTTTCCACACTATTGCTTCACGATAAATTGGCTCTTTGGTACAATATTTTTATTTTGTTTTTTTTTTGGTCACACCGGAACTTTACGATGCAATCCTGCAACTTTACTCGCTGATACGACATTTGTATTTGGCACACCATTTATCCACCATACATCGCATCGCTGACAGTCACTTTCTGTATTACAGCAAGTTTTCTCTTGGTGATGATATTTGCGACACTTTCGCCGCGAGACACGACGCTGATACTTCGGAGATTATTCCGAGCGGTTCCTTTTAGCATTTCTTGTGTCCTGCAAAAAGTAATGTCGCATGGCGATGCGTGCATTTATTCGTCCCTTGTCGCCCGCTTCCTCCAGTAGACGGAGACATGTTTACATTCCTTGTCACACACACACACAGAAACACACATGCATGCAGCGCTAATAGATGTGCATAAACATGAGCACAGTCATACACAGCTTTATGGATTAAAGTGCGGCCTTGATAATCTGTGCAACTTTTAGGAGAGCTCCAGTCTGCGCCTCACTTCCTCTCTTGAGCACACAGCAGCAGATTATGAAAATGTGGAGTCGAACGTTAATAAAAAAATACAAGGAGCAATCAAACAACTGAAGTGGGCCTTAGGGGGGACAGCGGAGGATTTGGATTATTAAGCGGAACACAACAGCGGAATCCCACTGGGCCATCACCCCCCACACACACACACACCATGGCCCCCACACCCCACCCGGCTATATCAAAGCCCGCCGTTAGACAGAAAGCAGAGTTCTGGAACAGCCTGGATAATTGTCATCTGTCATCGTGAAAATGATCTTCACGCTGTAAATAAAACGATGCACAGGAGATCTAAAGTTTCCTCCGCAATGAAGTGGCAAGATAAATAGCGCGTGTCGTATCCCCAACTTGACAAATAACGATGAATGCTAAATTCATTCCAGCACGGTGCAAAAGTCTCAAGCCAAGATGTGCTATTTTTTTTTTCAATTCGCTGTTCTATAATGACCCTGTCAAAGTAGAATGTTAGTTCATCGCTACCTACGACACTTGTTTGTATCACACCACCACCTCCGGATACAAAATCGCATGACTGCAGTTGCCTCTGATATATTTGTCTTTGTCGCGCCATTGCTTCACGCCGCGACGTTGCATTACTGCGACCGTCCTCTTCCGCGTGATATATGTCTCGCTCGCACAGATCCCTTCATGAAATTACGCACGACCGCATACGTTTTCTGTTCACCGCGATCCGTGTTCGTCACACCGTCGCTTCACGATACGGCACCGCACGACCTCAATCGTCACAGACGACAACACCCCACGCCGGCCGCTTTCATCTTGAGTACGATATTTATTTGTGAGCTTTTTCTCCTCTGCACAGAAAAAGTCTCCATCGCGCAATACTGCGATATGGATGTTTATTATCTTATTATGCTGCTTAGGTACTTTTAAAAATTTAGCTTTGATGGCCATTGTGTCAGCGGCTACTGAAAAGGCACGGTGCCAAAAGAACGTTTTTTAATTTTCTGATTGCCCACATATAAAATATCCTGCAATAAGAAAGCAAATTGGTGTCATTATTTGATTAGAGTTGGCCTATTTTGACCCCTTCTAATGAGGACACAACATGAACAGTATCTACAAACTGATGTCAACGCTTTTCAATATTTTTTTTATTTTTTTTACTCTCCCCGCACACACTGGCCTATTCACTCATTCGCTCGACCTTTCCTGCGTGCATACTTTTAATTAGACACCAATTAAAAATCTCATTAGGGCTTCAGCAGCTTGACAGGAAATCGTGAATCTGTAATAGTTTCGGGAGGTAAACTGCGAGCTCACGTCAGATTGCAACAAGGCGGAGATTCTCGGGTACTCTCTGCGGCGACAACGTTGTTTTGACAACCCAACGCGGCGGCGCGCGGAGTCATGGAGCGGCTCGCTGCATTTATTTAAGGGCATGACACGTGGGGGTTATTTATTTATTCATTTATTTATTTACAAATGACTGACCAATCTAAAGTGTTGAAAATGGCTTGCTCTCTTTGCTGATTTCATAATGGCTGAACAAATATGCACTTTTGGGGGGCTCCTGAAAAGTGAATTTGAAGGTGGAAGGTTTCGGCCCAACGCCGGCAAAGTATCGGTTCATATGTACAGTCGATACTGTTCACTCAAGACAAGACGTGGGCGCTGTGGTCACATGAAACCAAAGTTGAGCTATTAGCCATCGACTCGCACCATCTTGCTTGGAGGGTGACAATATGCGAGTGCGACCCAAAGAACTCCAACCCCCCCCCCCCCCCCCCCCCCCGGTCAAGCGTGCAGGTGGACTCATTATTTCAAGATGGCACGGGGTGACTTCAGCGCATTGAGGTGGCTAAAAGGCGCCATGCACTGTGAAAATCCTCGACTGACAGATGTTTTCCAGTGGCACCATTTTGTCCAAAAAGATATACTACCTGGCCACCAAAAGAATGGATCAAGAAGAAGCATAAGCATGACGTCAAGGAGTGGCCAGTTTAGAAAACCAGAGACTAGGAATTGCTTCATCAGCAGGGAATGACGTAATTATTCCCCCCCCTCTGTATGTCGGGCTCCTTGTTTGCATGGCTTCTCTGTTGTGCTCGTGAATCTTCTAAAATTTAAAATCTCACCCTAAAATCATCAAGAAAATAAAAAGCCATCGGTCCGGTGGGACTTCTGTGGAAGCTTGGAGAGTGTCATTTCAC